CGTGTTGGTGAAGTTATTGGTTTATCTGCAAAAGATGTTGATGAGGCGTTGGCATTTTTTCACAGTGTTCGTGATATTATACATTTTGCAGACGACAAGGATTTACATAATGTTGTTATTACCCATCCACAGCGGTTGGTCGACCTGTTCAGACTAGTAATCACACATATGTTCAAACACGGTGAAGCAGATGGAAATACAGACCTATATTACATGTGGGCAAATTTGTCTAATGAAGGGGTACTTGAAGTAAAGTTGGTGGAAGAAATTCTTAAGAAGGAAGACCATATTGACAACAAGGAGATTCTCTTAGAAACATTCAAAATGTTTGACATCATAATTCCAAAGCCTGGTACCAATACTGAATACTACATGGTGTGTCTCCTGAAGAAAGCCGGGGAAGCAAAGGTACTATCTCCTAAAGGCAGTCAATCCAGTTCCTCCCTCTACTATCACTTCAAGCGAGGATTTTTACCAGATGGTTTCTTTCACCAGTTAGTCATAAGATGTCTAAAGAAATGGCCAAATGCTAAGCTGTACCAAGATGATGCAAGGTTTGGTTTGGGAGACAATCATTATCTCATCATGTCCAAGAAGGCCTCTGACATCCAACTGTCAGTGCTGACAACCAATCCAAGGGCTGTAGATCCATCACATGGTCCTGAAGTAAGACAGCTTGTAGAAGAGCACGCAGATGTACTTGTGAAGAGATACAACCCTGGCTTATCATATGCAGTGTGCTTGAGATGTGACTGCGGTGATCATAACTCCAGTCAAATTGCACCTGAACAGAATGTCCTTGACGGTGTGGATGATGGATGTGTAGAAGTCAAGCATGGTAAGCTTTTGTTCTGCCAAAGAGGAACTGAAATGAGTGATTGTGGTCGCTCGTTCTGGTTTCCTGAATGTAAGTATATTCTGTGTTAAAATCTTGTTTTAATGTGCCTGCCGGAATTCTCCATTTCATACAGCCATATACGTCTTATGGCAACATATTATGTATAACTAGGCAAATATTCAGATTGACTTCATGCACACAGTAACATGAATTATGCCAACATATTATGTATAACTTTGTAATTATTCAGATTCACATTCATGCACACAGTAACATGAT